TCTCCCGGGCTCACCTCCAGCCTCCTGAGCGCCCGGCCACCATCTAGACCCTCTGGACTCAGCATCCCCATTGCCTCTCTCTTCCTCCTTATTTGATATTATAACAAGAAAGACCTAAATACAATGTATCCTCTGCCGAAGAAGGGATCATTGGCACAGCTGTCCTTGAGACGTGGCAGAAGAAGGCCTTAGGTCAGAAGGCACAAGCTGACCACAATAACATAGATGATAGATAGATAGATAGATAGATAGATAGATAGATAGATAGATAGATAAAATACATATATAAGTATACGGGAAAATAATTGGAGTGAATTTGAAGAAATGTAAATGTAATTTGATTTCCACTTGGGCCTCTCTTTTTATAACACTGCCTAAGTTCAGGGAAAAAAAAAAAAACAGAATACCCTACGTAAATGCTTAGGTGGGAGTCCCCTAAAAATATGTGAGCTCTTTATCTCTTCAGGCAATGTGATCCCTCCTCTCTGACCCTTTGAGGTCTGCAGGTGCCTCCAGCACTCCTGACTCCTTTCCTTCCAGGCTGTTCCTATCCCCAAAGTTCCTGAGGGAAACATGGACTCAACAGCTGGTGAATGAAGACGCCAGTTCTAGAGGCTTCCTTGGGTGGCCCAGAGGCCCAGATGAGCCAGCTTCCACCCCTGCCCCAGGGCCCAGCTTGCCTCCCTCTGCCCTTCCCCTACACCAGCTCTGCTGGATGTTGTTTTCCCACAGTGGGCATCTCTGAAGCTGGTAAGAAGTCCCATGTCAAGGAGGTACCAAGAGAAGTAACTAAGACTTCCCTTGGTGGAAATGGCCCACTAGGCCATTGAAACCGTCCCCTGAAGACAGTTTTTTTTTTTTTAAAAGGTAGAATATTATAAAATGAACAATCTTCTTAAAGGCATCAAAGAGATAACAAGATAGTAGGGAATTACTGGGCAGAGTTATAGAGAAGAGGACCCAGAAGAGTAAACCCAGCCCTCGAAGCTTCTTTTGCCTTGAGGATTCAGCTAAATCTGCTTAGAAACCGATCTGTGCTTCCAGTGGGTTTGTATACAAAAGCCACGGCACAGTACCCACCAAAGTTGGGGACCCTACCGAGCCCTCCCCTACCTCCCTTACCCTAACCCTGAAGGGCTATGCTCTCAGAGTAAAGGTGAATGAGCCAGTCCTCCGTGGACTTGCAGCTCAGCTTCCTGTCATCGAGTTGATTCAGGGGACCTCAAGCTGTGAACTTGGATTATGGTAGTGCCGTCTGGTACTGCCAGCAGTCATGTGTCAGAAGCAGAGAAAACGATAACATCATCCTAGGCTTCTAACTTTTCCTACAAAGAAAGAGCCATCCTGTAACTCCTTTCTCACCAGGAACTCCTGGCGGGTCCCCATCCCTAAAAAGACTCATGGGAGTCACCTCGCAGGGATGCTGAAATGTCTGAGCCGGGGGCAGTCCCAAACCTCACCCCTCCCCAAGCTGCAAGGAGCCTTCACTGTTCCCTTTTCTGAGGTGAAACTAGATCCAGATGCAGGTTCTCTATGAAATCAACTGTCTTGTTGCTAGAGGCCTCTTCTTGCCAAGTGAAATGTAAGATCCAAACTAGAACAATTAAAACCCATCACCCTCTTCTTCCACATTTTTCTTTGCAAGGAGTCACGAGGCTCTCTTAGGAATCAGGTAGCCCTGCCCTGGAGAGGGCGTCTGACACTGGGAAACCAGCTCCAGTCTCTTCAATAGGAAAGTAGGTGGGGGTCTCAGGACACAGCCCACCTGGTAGCCATTTCTCCTGCGCCTCACTCCGGGTCCTCCCTCATCCAGCCCTGTCCCTTCAAATTCAATTCAGGGCTGACCACCGCCTGTGCTCCATCATCCCTTAGAGCTCTCAGCAGGATGGCAGGATTTTTATTTGCTCCATGTCTGTCTTTTGCTTAGTATAAATTCCACGGAAACCGAAGCTAAGTCTGTTTTGTCCACTAGGGTGTTCCCAGTTCCTAGAACAGTCCCTGGCACAGAGTAGGGTGAATGAATGAAATCACAGCGTTTCCTATGAAGCCCGGAGACTCAGGACAGTCAGCTTCGGGGATTCACCCCTGCTTTTGCTGCAGTGATGGACTCCCCCTTCCTCTACAAATACTGGGAGTCCCTCCCCTTACCTCACTTCATTCTCTTCTTTTGTCTCCTCCTTTTGTACGAGACTTTTCAGGATCAACGAGGGCTTTCAGAGTACTCTTATAGTAAAGTGCTGGTTGACTCGATTTGTCACTCTAAAAACTTCCAAAGTCGCTCACTGCCGGGTCTTCCTACTACTGTTATTGTCACTGTCAAAAGGGATTACTGTCCCTCCACTCAAGTGCCCAGACTTGGCACAAAAAAAAAGAATTAACAGTCCATGGCCTCCTGGAAGCTGGAGCATCATGGGGAAGGCTGGACCAGTGAGTGCTCTGATGACCTTGCAGTTATGTCAACAAGTACCTGGGGTACGTCTGAACAATGGCACCTTCTGAGAGAAAGAGTGTTGTTTGCTTGGGGCAGGGCAGTGGGGGAGAGTGTGATCGGGGCTTAGGGCAGGAGGGGAGGTCCCGAAAGCCTGAAATGGACCATCCCAAGGCTCAGAGAAGAGGGTGAACTAACTGCAAGCAACAAGCAGGGGGATTTGGAATTTTTTTTGGTTATGGGGGAAGGGATGGGAAGAGTACACAGAGGCAAGAGAGGATGGGCGAAAAGAGCAGTGTTGGCAAGAGTATGAGGCTGGACGTTGGGAACAAGGGGACATTCCAGCAGCAAGAGGATGGAAAGCATGTTTACAAGCAGGAACATGCAAAGCCCCTTTCTAAAAGTGTGTGCACTTGTGCCTGCGGTTCACACGGTTAGCCCTCCCCCGGAACACCCCCTGTTCCTCCAGAAAGTCAAAACACCGCCCCCAGACATTTTATGTGATTGAGTTTTGATTTGAGTTTTTCACCTGTAGGTTGCTGAGAAGGAAAGGAAACTCTGTAGTACTTTTTTAAGTTTTTTTCCCGCTCACCAGGAAGAGTCAAATATCCATGTGGGTTGACAACCAACCCTCCTCTCGGACTAGCTGACCCTTCCTCAGACATGAGGGTCATCTTCCCAGGTACCCAAGATCTCGGAAACCCTGATCCTCCAAACAGGGTGGTTCTCTTGGGCATGGGAAGGAAACTGTCACCCCACCACGTCCCTGCTCTCTTCTAGGACATAAGTGACATCCTCAGCCTTGCTTTCTGGCCTCCAGTATCTGGGACGAGTTGGCACAGGTGACCCTTCAATTAGGACTTCCAGGAGCCATAACAGTAACTAGGGCTCTTGCAGGAGAGCGGGCAGGTCCGGGACGATGCTGGGCCTGTGGCCTAAACCTCCAGGGTCAGAACTCAGAAAGCCATGAGTGGTGGCGAAGCAGGGTGCAGGAAAAAGGCAACCTACCTTCTTGCTCTTCAAGTTGTGGCCTCTCCTGGGAGCTTATTGGAAATGCAGAGTCTCAGGCCACAGGCCTGCTGACTCTGGGCTCCCGTGGTGAGCTCGCGTGCATCTTCACGTTGCCTTGGCCTCCGTGGACCTCACAGTGGGCCCCACTGGGACCCGTGCCCCTCCTCCTGCCCCCAGTTGGGCGTGCCCTGGCGGGGCCTCCAGACCAGAAAACATGCAGCTGAAGCCCCAGCAGGAGCAGCCCCGGTTGGTTATGGCCAACATTCTGGGGTTGCCACTCTCGTCCCCCTTGGTGAAGTTCAAGGCTTTCAGACTCCATAGTCACTGAGCTCACTGCTTTTGGGAAACACCTGACGGTGGTCTCCCCCGGCGGCACGGCACTGTGGATCTGAGGTTTTTTTATAGGTGGGTCCAAATCCACTCTCTGCCCCGCGGGCAGTCACCACACCCTCTCCAGTCTGGACGTGGGGGAGGGGTGCCCCCGACACACCCCTCAGCAACCCACCATCTCCCCGCCAGGTGGGGCGGGAAAGCCATGAGGCACAGGTGTAGAAGGGAGAAGCGGAGGAACCGGAGAACCGTGCTGAGGCGACACCCACAGCGGTTCTGGGAAGGCTTGGTGGGGCTCTGATGGGTCTGCCGCGGGGTCAGGAGCCCCAGCGTACTCTGCCCTCCCTGGACAGGCTCCACACGGGCAGCAGCTGCCCTTTGTGGGCTCCACTCAGTGACACAAGGACAGTCACTGAGCTGCTCAGCCAGGGTGGGGACAGCCGAGGGTCAGAACTGCACACAGCTGGGTGGTGATGGCCAGGCCTGGCCGCGAGCAGAGATGATGCTGGACCATGGTGAGCCGAGCTCTGCGCTCAGGCAGACATCATCCTTCCCCAGGCTTCAGGCTGAAATATCGAAAGAGGAGAAAAGGAAAGGAAACCAACCGTCGTCTGAGTTCTCCTTGGGGGTCCAGTTCAGACCCCAGGGACCTCACTCCTTGTACTCGGCATGGGGCCCCTCTTGTTCTTTGCTTTTGCCAGTAGAGATCAGAGATGGGGTCCCTCGTCGTGCAATTCTACAAAACACAATGCTAAGGCTCTTTTTAAAACCGTTTTAAATATTTGTGGACACCAGGAAATACTCATAATGGTAAGTGAAAAAATCAGGTTGTAGGACCCAGATGTGTAGAGAAAAACACGAAAAGGCGCTCACACAGAAGCCCAGAGGCCACTCGTAGCGTAAAGCAGAGCTGGCCCCTCCCTTGTCAAGTCTTCTGAGGCCCTCGCATCCCTGTCACAGCCCTTTATGCTCTGTCATCCCTCTAGGTCACGTGTCTGGTCTTCTCCCGAGACTCAACTTCTCGAGCCTTCCAATTAACACAGAGCCCAGAGTAAGTGGGCATTCAATAAAGGTTTGCAAAGGATAAATACAGATAAATGACGGAAGGAAGGAAGGAAGGAAGGAAGGGGAGGGGGACGTCAAAATGCTGTTAAGGGTATGGTTATCTGGATAACTTGTTTTATCTTCTTTATAATTAACTATCTGTCTTCCCAAATGTCACCCATGAAAACATCGCTTTTATAATAAATCCATGTTTAATCAAAATTCTGCTCCTTAAATCAGTCTGAAATGTTTTCTTATAACTTCCAGTCCTATTTTTAAGTGAATCCAGAAGACACCGACTAGATCATGTCTCTGTAATGGTCACACCTTCCAGAACCGATACTGGACACGTGATCTGACAAGTCCCCAAATGCTCGCAAAAGAACGGGAACCGGGTCTTTGGAATCGGGGTGCCCCCAGCTAAGGAACATCTAATCTTTCACCGAGGGAGGATGGCAGTAACGCTGGGGGGTGTGGGATCCATTTGGACAGTGTTGTCCCTTTGGACCCCAAAGTTGGCCCCTCTGAAGCGCCCATGAAAAGAACAAAAAGAAGGCGGCATTAGAGAAAGGAAGTCATCCCACCCAGGTCCGATATTCCTTCCAGCCCAACTTTGCTTCCCCGAGACCCAACTCACTCTGCTTTTAAGAAACGGAACTTGTCTTTGCAGAGGAAGAGCTGGTTACGCAGGTAAAGGAAGGCCCCCTGCAGCCTCCTGTCCCCATCCCACCCTCCTTTCTCCCCTCTGCCTGGGACCCCACTCTCCCCAGCACTGGTCACCACAAATGCCTTGCCCACAACAGGGGACCTCTAGCCTCCCTACCACCACCAGCTCTCTCTGCACCTCTGGAATCCCACAGAACTTTGTCACTCTGGCAGGACTTAGAGGCAGAGGGGCCTGGGTGGAACCTGACCCCTGAGGTCGATCCGAGCCCCAGCACTGAGGCACCCAGGGCTTCAAACCCAGGCCCAGTACCTCCTCCTGGGCACCCCTTCTGCCCTCCTCTGAGCCTCAGGCCCACATCCCTCATCAAAAGAAGGCACCTTGCTGGCCTCCATCTCAGAAAACCTCCAAACTGATGCATACACAGTTCACGCCAGAAGCGTTTTTTATTTAAGAGCCTCTAGTGCCAAAGCTGTGGCGTCTGGAAGGTCATTCTCGGTGGCCGCCTCTGCCAGGCCCTGTGACGAGCACCTGGCATACAGAGGCCGGCGTCCCTGTGTCAGGCAGAAGAATCCAGCTTCTCCGCAGATGGCTCAGACGCGGTCGTCGGAAAGGCAAGTGTGAGCCACGGTTCCAGTTCAAAGGTCCGGACAGCGCACAGCTGCTAGGCAGCCCATCCCGTTTAGTCACCACCCTGGCCCATGAGGACATGGTGGAGGGTAGAGATAAAGCAGCCCCCCGCCCCCCTCTGGCAAACAGGGTGGAGAAAGGGAGAAGGAAAGTCAACAAAAGAAGCCAAATCCCAGGAGGGAGCCAAGGACCAGCAGGCCACTGTCCTCAGAGTGGCCGCCCCTCTCTTCTGCAGAGGCTAAAGTGCCACCCTGATGGGCCAGGGCTGCAGAGCACCCATGCCCAGAGGGCCTTGGGGACCAGGGGACCCCAAAGCAGGGCAGCCCCTTCCCAGGAAACTGAAAAATCTGAAGATAGGGGCGAGTAGGGAAAGGCCAGAGTTTTCATCCCAAGCAGCGGAGCAGACAATAAACAGGCAAATTTGCAAACCCTGCAGAATGCCAGAAAAGAGGAGATTAAAAAAAACTACAAAATACCTTTCCAGAGAGAACAGAGTAGCCCACCCCCAAAGGCACTGCTCGGAGACTTTTGCAGAAGGATATCCGTTGCAGCAAATAACCCTCAGGAAATAGTGAAATGAGAGGCGTCTCTCATCCTGAGGAGTCAGCCCGAGGCCCTGCTTCCAGCAAGGGTCGGGCACTCGAGCTGCAAGACAAGCCATCACCCAAACCCGCCTGTGCAAGGGGCCTTCCTGCAGTAACCCTCTGGGTCCAGGTGGGTTCCTAGGCCAGTCTGGCCTGGACCAACTGCAAACGTAGTCCCTGGCAGTGGGCTTTTTTCAGCCAACCAAACCACCATTCATTTTAATTATCACAGTGATTTTTTTTAAATTCCATGCCTAATTCTGCTGAACCCTTTCGGAAAAGGAAAAGAAAAGGAGCCACAGGACGTGTTTCCATCTGCTACAAGCTGAGCAGCTCCGAGCCCTTTTGCGCTCTGAACTTTCACGCGGCCACCACCAACGAAAGGTCAGAACTCGACCGAGCCCAGAAAGGCCACAGAGGGTCAGACATATAGAAGTGCGTAGATCCGGGAGAGCAGACTGTCAGAAACCCTAAACATGCCGCTGAATATCCTTTAGGCTTTTCTCAGGTTCCTGATAACTTCTGATCTCTTTTACTTTTGTCGGCAGTTGCTTTAAAATTATTTTTTAAATCAGCATGTTTCCCCTTGCCCCTTAGCAAGGCAAAAGCCCTCTTGAGGGAATAAAGGGTGACATTTTAAAGGAGCGTCCAGAGGGTGGTGTCTCCTGCAGTGACATTCGGAGCCGACATTCTACACACAACTGTGCCAGAGTTTCATAAATAATGTTTGTTATGGTTTCAACACCTCGGACGGGACAGCTTCCAGATCCTTCACACCCCCCAGCTTCAGCCGACCAGCCACAGGATGCCAACACGCTGGAGAACAGGTTTTACCTAAAAGAAGAAGAACAAGTCAGTGGCCTCTGGCAGAGCCGCACACCCATTGTGACCCCCTCCGTAACCACGACCATCCTCCAGGCCACGCCGCCGTCCTAGCAGGGCAGTTGACACCCCTCCCCATGCCCCTCCAGCAGTGCCTCCATCTCTCTCGCCCCCCATCTCTATTCCTGCCACACAAGCTGCCTTTTCAGCCCTTGAAAACGCCACCCTCCTCAACCCCAGGACCTTTGAAAGTGCTGCCTGGAACGCACACCCACTCCTCCAGGTAACGCCTTCCCTTCCCTCAGCTCCCACCTCAGGATGCTTTCCTAGGTCCCCGCACAGACCCCTAGTACACCACCTCTCTTATCCTTGTAATCCTCCTTCCTAGCACTTCTGTGGGTGTTTACACCGGGGCTCGGCAAACCTTCCCTGTAAAAGTCCAGAGGGTACTAAATATTTTTGACTTTGCAGGTCCTCTAGTTTTCGTGGCAACTGCTCAACCCTGCTGCTGGAAATGCTTGGCATGGCTGTGTTTCAATAAAACTTTATTTGTGGACACTGAGGTTTGAATTGCATTTAATTTTTACATGTTATTCTTCTTTTGCTTCTTTTTCAACCATCAAAAATGTAAAAATCATTCTTGGCTCAGAAGCCGTACAAAAATAGGCAGTGGGCTGATCTGGCCCAGGGCCCTTAGCCTGCTGGCCCCTGGTTTATGGTTTATGTAATTATCTGATTCGTGTCTGTCTCTTGCCTAGACTGGGAGCTCGCTGCAGGTGAGACCCTTGTCGGAGCTTGTTCACGTTTAAACCCCAGCACCAAGCACAGTGTCAGACAATTGTAGGGGGTGCAAGAAATATTTGTACAATGGGTGAAAGTTGAAAAACTGAATCTATTCAAGACATCATCCAAAGGGACTTAGAAAAGGAGGGAAAATTTGAGAGGTCCCCAGCATCTATTAATGTTTGAACATGGGCATTACATAATCACATGGAAAAACAGTGGAGACTTAATAGAACTTATCAAATAATAAACTGCTTTTCATAACGTTATATGATCCCAAATATAAATATCAGGTAACTAATTACTGAAAGATATGGACATCATATTTTTAGGAAATACACACTTAAGTACCGGGGGGAAAGGGACATGAGAGATGTAACGCATTCAGAAAATGGTTCAGAAAAAAAGAATCTGAACACACACACAGAGCCATCATAAGACGAGTGAGGCAAAATTTTAAAATAGGAAAATCTAGGTAAAGGGTATCTGGGTGTTCTCTCTACTGTTTTTGTCTTGCAACTTTTAAGTTTGAAATTATTTCCAAATTTAAAAAAAATAGACATGGGTATCCTCGTATTGACCACTAGGGTCCCCTGTTCAACAGATTAGAGGAAGAAAAAGATAAATCCCCACGGCCATGTCCACGCTGTGAAGGCTGGTTTTCTTGCGTCACCCACATGCCCCCTCCTCTGGGCTAGGAAGAGGGGGGCTCACCCCCGCTTACTGACATCCACGGAGCCCAGACACCCCCACTCTACAGATGCAGCCTGAGGACCTCAAATGTTAAGACTCCCAACGGCCTTGACCCCACAGTCAGGTCTTCCCCTGCATCCTGCTGCAAGTTCAATGTTGAGCGTGAGGGGTCGGGGCCAGGGGACTGGAGACGGAGCAGCAAAGCTTTCAAAAACCAAGAATCGGACCAGAGTAAAGGGACCCGATTCCCAAGAGCTACCCAGAGCAGGTGTGCATATGAACAAAAGCAGACTACCATGAGCCTGCTGAATCTGGAAACAGCAGACCGTCAGAATTCGCAGAGATGTGAACTTTATATACCGCCAACGCATTGAAAATTCACCTTCGCAGGTGTCCCAAGATTGCTATTTTGTTGAACTGCATCTTCCGGATGCCCCAAGGGCACACCCCGGGATGCTCTGCCAGCTTCCCTGCCTGCACCCCAACCCCCTGTGGGCAGCTGTTGACTCCTTGTGCCTACGGGAAGAAATGCGCAAGTGCGCGCGCACACACACACACACACACACACACACACACACACAGGGTAGAGACGGAGCAGTAGGGGAGCCACCACGAACCATCAAGCACATCTGATTCCGCAGGCTCCCTCCTCAGCAGAACTAAATCTCCAGGGCTGCTCCTGGAAAAAGAAAACAGATGTGCTCGCCTGCCCCACGGGGAGCAGCTTCCCTGGGCGCGTGCCAACACCTCAGAGGTCACCAGCTCTGGACCTCAAGTCCAAGCAGTGTGCTTCGCTGCCCTTCAGACTCTCTGGTGTGACTGTGACTCGGGCAGCTCTGGGGAAAACCGACAGAGGGACTGGGGTGAGGAGGAAGGTTGTAAAGTCCCAGCCCTCTTCTTTTCATCCCGCTGTTCCCCTGAGGCCATGAAGCTTTGGGGCTCTCCCCTGGGGAGGGTCCTGGGGGGACAGGCTCACAGATGCAGCTCACCCGGTTGGCCCTACACCCGCTCAAACTCGCACCTGTCGACATGCTATTACTTCTTCCTCGGATGCCCTCACTCCTCCCTGCCCGTCAATGTGCTCCAGGCTCACTCCCTTGTCCTTCCAAACCCCCTCTAAGCTTCATCTCCTCTGGGAAGAGGTGCCAGGGAGATGTGCCCCTGGTGGCTGCCCACAGCACCCTGTTCTTTCCTCCCTGTGGCGTTTACCAGGTCCTCTTATAAGAGTCCATGTTCCTGGACACCCCACCTCAGCACAAGCTCCCAGAGGGCAGGGCCAGGCTTACCCATCCTGCACTTGCAGTGAGCTGGGTGCACGTAGAAGATGACAAGCAGAGATTTCTAAGAGGGATCTCTGGGCCCTTTCCATCCTCCAGAAAAGCCAAACTGCTATTGACATCCCTGCTTTGTCACTAAGATTAACCAGAAAGGTGGTCCATGCAGACCCCGCTCCCACACTCCCTGGAAACTCCAGGTGAAGTAAAGGCACGTTTAGGTGCCATGACCCATGCTTATTCTCTTCCGACTTGCAACCGTCCTGTACAGCGACATTGGGTTACAGCCATCCCAGAGAAGGAGAGGGACATGCCCCAACCTGTCCCTGTCCCATGTTTTACAAGAAGTTTGTCTGTTGGCAGAAAGAGCCCTCCACACAGGAGCACCTGTCTCAGCACCTGTCTTGCACGCTGGCAGCTGACCCCTCGGTGCAGCAGACGAGGACACCTCAGGAAGACGGCACAGCAGCCACGGAATGGAGAAGCCGAGGGAGGAAACCAGGCCACGTGTGTGAGTTCTCCTGAGACAGACAGACATGAGGACCACACCACCAGGTGCCGGGGGGCCCTCGGCAGACTTCCCACTTTCATCCCAGGACGTCGAACACAAAAAAGAACAACTGAATAACGTGGCTAGCTTTTACAAAAGCACTGCTAGTTAGGATTATTTGTGTGTTTTCCTTTTTTTCCCCCTTTTCTTTGCCTGATCCTTACACAGCTCTATAAACTGTGTGTCCATGTAGGCGGGAAACTAAGTCAGATTCACTCAAACATGGATGGGCCTAGAGCTTATCATACTAAGTGAAGTAAGTCAGAAAGAGAAAGACAAATACCATGTGATATCACTTATATGTGGAATCTAAAAAATGATACAAATGAATTTATTTACAAAGCAGAAATAGACCCACAGACATAGAAAACAAACTTATGGTTACCAAAGGGGAAAGGGGGGGAGGGGGAGGGATAAATTAGGAGTTTGGGATTAACAATATACACACTTCTATATATCAATATAAAATAGTTAGCCAACAAGGACCTACTGTGTAGCACAGGGAACTATACTCAATATTTTGTAATAACCTATAAGGGAAAAGAATCTTTAAAAGAACAGATATATGTATCTGTGTAACTGAATCACTTTGCTGTACACCTGAAACTAACACAACATTGTAAATCAACTATACTTCAATGAAAAACAGAATCACCTAGCAGTAAATTTTCATCGCCACACAAATTCCCGTTTGCATAGTCTCCCTCCTCATAGATATAAAACTCAAATAGTTTTAAGGTGCACGATACCTCAGCTGAGAACTGCCCCCAGAATGCCAATATTGCTTTTCAGAGAAACAAAAATGCCTCAGGAGATGCCCATTTATATATAACACATAAGCTCGGAATTCTACAAGCAAGAGGGCTGGCAGAGAGTTATTCAACCTGCTTTGGGGATGGCCTCTGATGCCGTTTCAGGTCCAGGGAGGATGCTCCAGCCACCCTGGGGAGCCCACAGGTCACCAGGTCCCGTCTGATTCCTTCCAGGCCCCAGAAGCTCAGGGTACCGGTTGCCTCTGCAGCGGTCCCCATGCTGACGCTTCTAGCAGCCTCACTCCGCATCCTCAGGTGATGAGGGAGCGTGGGGCGGGCCGAAGGGCCCTCCGAGCTCAAGGATTCTAGAAGTCACTGCCCTGAGTGTGCTTAGCAGGGCCTTAGCTTTGTCTCTGCCATAGGGTGGCCATGGGGACCCTGACCCCTGACCCCTCAGTCTAGGATAAGCAAGTCAAGTCCATTTTCTCCCTCTCCCACCACAGCCTCCAGGGGCCTCTGGCTGCAAACAGCCACCAAACGCCTTTTGTTCCAAAGCCAAGATGCCAGGCACAGCCCCCAGAGGTGCAGGGGACATCTCATCCGTTTCTAATTATATTCCCTCCGGAAGCCCTGTCCACAAGAGGGTGGGAGTCAGGCATTTCTGGGGCGCATATCTGCACCCCACGGGCCACGTCTTTTCCACACCTAAGAAGCAGAGGCACCAAGCCCGCCCTCCCTCCCGGCCCCTGGAGACCAGGACTGGCCAGAGCTGCGCGTCCTCCCAGCACACCTTCGGGCTGTGCTTGTCATGGCTCCTGGTGCCACCTACCAGACAAACAGCAGGAAGAGCGGCATCTGCCTCGCCTCAGGGGACACCTGGAGGGTGTCACAGAAGGCTCCGGAGATAAACCACGGAGGCCCAGAGGTCCACGACATCAGCCACACCTGCACGCTAGGCCA